ACCATCAAAATATTCTGTACCGTACAGACAATGAGTGGGAAACTATGGGTTATATTAACTTCCAAATTAGATGTTTCTCTCTGCTATTAAATTGTTTATATATCATGTAAGCAATTTATCAAAGTTATCATGGTTGCTGGAAATATTTCACTCCTAATTAAAGAAAAGGCTAATAACTCACAACCCGGCAGCATAAATAAGGCAGACATGTTTTTTCCTTTACCTAAGAATGAGTCATTTAGTGTTGATTTTCCCCCTTCAAAAGCTTCAGCCACAGCAAGTCACTTGCTTTCATTTTGCCTCAATGAAGATGAAAACCACAGGTTACATCAACAAATAAATGAGCTCAGGATAAATAAAGTTATTTTGTGTGTACGAGGGGTTCTTAAAGTTGGTGTGAACATGCTGAAACATTTCAAATGTTGTTCCAAAATTAGGCACTATAACATGATGTACCAGAACTTAATTTTTCCTGAGGTGAAGAATGAGATACATGATTGCTCCAGCCGAGGGCGGGTGAAGATTTAGATGTGGGCTTCTATTCAAATATGAATGTCTCCTTGACATTTTCTGCAATGCGTTGGCTGCTCATCCTTGTCACATTTTCCCTGAGCTGCATATGGGACGGCACGACCTGTTGACATTTACAAACTCATCTGGCTGAGAGCGATGGCATTCTATAAAGAGAAACACCTCAACATGTTCCCATACTGTTTCTACTGCTCAGTGTTACACTAGAACATGTTATTGCTTTAAACAAACAGTCAACCTTTGCAGAGAGACATGGTGCCTCACTCTTCCCTTTAAACAGCATGCCTGAAAGCTAAAAATAACATATGTAGCAGAAGCCCTGCAACTGGCAGGCCTCATAAACTGCAGTAAATACTGCCACCAGAGGGAGCCCATTGCTTTAATGTGAACAGGTTAAAGTCTGCCCGTGCCATACTGATAAGGCTCTGGATTACAGCCAAGCACAGTGTGGCACATATCTTACCAGCAGCTGGGTTAATGTAGGACGGAAGTAAAATGAGGTTAGCGCACAGCTCATGTAGTAACTGAGAAGCATGACATAACTGTAAACAGAGGGTGGAGGCTGTTAATGCAAACATCTATTTGCATGACTTAAGAGTGACAATACAAATAAAAAAGACACATGATCAAGAACATGGAAAGAAACATGCCCATAAATAAATGAAATGACTTATTTTCTCTGTATGGAGAAAAGACTCATTCACTTTATTGAACAACAATTGAAAATGAGAATTAAGAGACATGGTTTCCAAATAGGATGCAATCAGAAAACTTAAATATGAATCATTGTGCGGTTGTAGCCTCTGCATGCCTCATGTTCTTCTTCGGAAGTTTAAAATGGTTCTGTGCGGATCAGCTCATCTTAATGCATTTGGTCCAGCAAATTTGATCTTTAGAAATCAGGGCCTTGCTTCTTCAGCTTGCTGTAGTCCATGTTAATTGCGCAAAACTGAGAATACAAAAACAAATCTCAGTTCAACAGTGGAAATTTCAGAAAAAAAATGCATTGAAAGCCGAAAGTGAGTTCGGGTGACTACAAGTTTTAGGGTATTTGGCAGAGCATAATCTTGCACTTGCCCTTTTAACTTGTGTTCAAGTGTGAGAAGATAATGACTTCATCAGATGTCTTACTAGAGGTAAGGGTTAACCAGATGATGTGTTTGGATTAATCTAATTGAAGGAATTATTCATGGCTCAGCAACAAGTCAAAGATCCATACAATGCAAACAACAGTCTTCAGCACATACAATCAAAACTGTAACAAAAGTACGATTAAAAGAATGTGGTGTCAAAGTCTCACCTTGTACTGATGTGTTGGGTCCATCTTGTTCCAGGGCTCTGGGTTGTTCTTCTTGTCCCAGCTATAGAGGAGAATTAGAGTTATGAAAGATTCAACAACAGAGACTTTAACTTGACATTCAACGAGTAGTCAAATTATTATTTACAATAACCGTCAGCATCTTTTCCTTTTTTTCTAATCTGCAAATCTCAGTAACAGCAGATAACATGTAACCCCTACCAGCCACTTGCCATTTTAGAAAAGGGCAAAAATAAAAACGGAAGTAATATTAAAAGAACGTTTCCTGTTTAATGATTAGAGTCCTTACCAGACATCAGGGTTTCTCAAGGCCAGACGAGCAAGGTACCCCATGGACATGGCTGCCCCCCCAGCGATAAAGAATAACAGAGGGATCAGCTGTAGGTGACAGACAGGAGGATAAGTAACCTTCAATAACATAAAGGCGAACTGTCACAGCTCAAGGAAGCATTTCAATTAACACTGCCTGGCACAACTAGACAAGACAACATATCTTTGAAATGCACAGTTGCCTATACAATTTGACGTATATGCTCACTGTAGGCCTACCTGAAATCATTTGCCCTTGCAGACTACACCTGCATTGTGTTGACACCTTTATTCTTCATTATCATATGGTTAATTACAAAGAAGCAGTCACTGTGAGGTAATTTACACAAGTCAAATTACAGTTGTTCACAGATATGTGCAAAATGTTAAGTTCTAGGAAGAGTAAACACCTAGAAAACAAACTTGCTAAAGCTACCTAGCGAGCTAACACGCCAACTAGTAGCATGTGATGCTATTTTCAGCACAGCAAACACTCTTGCTAATAATCGTTGCTATCGTCTTGTAGATGAAGCCGGGACCTTATTTGACACCAAAGCATCAACACCCTGCATGAGAAAACCGTGTACTGAAGTATACTAGTTAAACAAATACAATTACCAGTAAAGCATCTTTAAATGTTTAACAGAATTTCTCAAAGTCAGTGCGGTCAAAGGTAGGATGCTAGCTTGCTAAGGGTAACTGGTTAGCTAAACTAAGTTAGCAACACACATTCACGGATGATGACGTTTAAAACAAAATCGTCTAATATCATTCTTTTTCTGATATAAAACCGAAATATACTTACAGCTGGGTGGCCCTTAAGCTGTTTGCGCACCGTGCCGAGCATTTTGATGTTGTGTTGGCCGACTTTGTACAGTAAGAAACGGATTACAACCGGTCTTGCCAAAACGGTGGACACTTTAAATCTGCGAGTTCGGGCGGAAGAAAGGCCTGTGGTAGCTCCGAGAGGATGCTAGAAATACCGCCTGATGGACCGTGGCAAAATCACATTTTTAGTAATTATTATCAGTACCTTGTAGAGCTTTAATGGCACACTACAGCTGTATATACAAAGTAATTGTGTACCATTTTGTCAATATATAACTGTATGGCTTTAGTTTTTATTTCCAAACAGCATTTTATTCGGGCAATGCTAAAGCGGTTTTTTTGTTGTTGCATGAAATATTTTAAAACAGAATCACAAAGCCCTTCACAGCAGCAAGAATCAAAACAGAATCACAAAGCCCTTCACAGCAGCAAGAATCAAAACAGAATCACAAAGCCCTTCACAGCAGCAAGAATCAAAACAGAATCACAAAGCCCTTCACAGCAGCAAGAATCAAAACAGAATCCGATAAAAATGAACGAAATACAATCTTTGTAAAGAAAAGGTTCAAATAAAAATAGACTTGGAGAATACTACAAGGATACTATTAAGATGATATAACACAACTTTATTATACATACAGAGCAAGGAATTAATGAATTTATAGTTTTTAAGTGTCTTTTTAAAATTAAATTAAAAAGAGAACAAATAAGTAGCTTAGCTTTTTAAGTTGCTTCAAAGGGTTAGGGTTAGAGAGAAAAAAGAAAAATCCATATGCACGTATTTTAACTGGTAGTGTTCTTACAGTGAAGCTGAAGGTAGGCTACAGCTTATAACTGTAAAAATGTACATTATAATATAATGTAGTTTATATTTAATTTAAAACACCCCCCGTTTCACATAATGTTGCTCTTCCATCTGATAATTGTTTTTAATTAAGTTGTGGTTCCAACTAAGCCTTGTGCATTCGTTTAACACTCTTGAGGTAATTGAAATATCCTATCAACATTGTTTCCTATGTTTAAGCAGGTGTCCCTTAAATTACAAACATGTTCCACCTATGGTAGAATAATAAAAGATAAAAGATGTATAGCCTACCTGAAAACATTGCACTATACCCTAATGCTCTAAATGTTTTTTATTTTCGTAACACACTTTTGTACGAATTGCCTCATTTTGAAAATGTGCTATTTATTAGGGTATTATGTTTAGGTGTTTGCTCTCTTGTGCTATTCTAATGTGCTATTTAGGGTATTATGCACACTTGTGTTTTCACCATTGCAAAACAAATCAATACCTCTGTGCATCTCCAACGGTTGTATTTTGCACTGTAAATCAGAAGAGAACACATTCTAAATATAGTAAGAAGAACAAAGCCTGAATTACAAACGAAAACTTGTCCCAACATTTCTTTACCAGATCTGGTCCTAACACTTTGTCCACTTCACAGGCTGCGTCCTCTCGGGGAAATGGCAAGGGAACAATCTTCTTGAATGGGAAATTCATCCTTGCACAGACACTGCATAAATTTGGTCGAAGGCCTCCTCCATGGTTGATTAAAAGAGTTTCCTGACATATGATTTGAGGCGACAATCCAGAAATGAGGTGTTTGGCAAGATGGCATGTTTATAGGTCAATTTGGTGCCCCATTTAAATCGCATTCATTTAAATTTAGATTGCTGTCTTATATGTAGAGAAACTTGTGCAGTGTGTTACATGTTCAATTCAGATTGGGTGCAAAGCTTGAAATGTGTTTAGTTATGACTTGAGGTGAAGTTAAGTTTCAATTGTTGTACTTTACGTAACATTTAGTGTGTAAGCAATTTATACTAATAATAATAATAGTACATTTAATTTGTAAAGCACTTATCAAAATACAAGAAAACTGTTATATTAAAAGCGTTTATGATTTTCCTATTATTATTTTATAGCTATTTTTCAAAGATGAGTATCTCAACTGAATGATTGAACCATTCAAGTAAAGTAAGTCTGTAACAAAAAGAAAATCACCATCAATTATCACAATTTCCCTTTTTATGGTCAATTATTTTCAACTTGTAGAAAATAAAAGTAAAAACAGTTCAATGATATGATTGGACATACAACAATGCGATGCATACAACCGTTTATATTTTTTAAATGACATGATACTTGGCTGATTGTTTGCTAATCATTCATCTTTATGTGATAATTACACATATTCAAGCATGACTTTGCCAACCAAGCCTTATTTTGTGGAAGTTCATGAGTTAGACCTTGTTTGGTTTCAATATCCATTCAAGGGAGGTTAGCTGGTTTCAGAAACATAAAGATTTTTCTGATACAGTACTTTCCGTCTCTTTCAGTCAGTCCAAATTCCTCTACAAAAGGTAGGTATTTTGTGAAAAAAAGAAAATAAATGGCTTGTCACAGTTCATTCAGGACTCGATCCCAAGTCAAATGTGTCTCTTTGCTGTATCCTAAGTAAACAATAGAAGCTAGACTCTCTTTTTAAATACAGTTAAGTGAAACATCTGACCATACTTAAACATATGATAGGCACATACAGTGTGCCTCTACAGAACGCTTTATGAAAATATGATACTGGCTTTAGAGTGTTTCAATTTGCAATCTTTCTGTCTCGTGCTCCTGACGTTTTAGTGTGTCGTCTTCTTGGGGGTTTTGCCGAATTTAGCATCGAATCCGAGACCTAAAGAGAGAAACCCAAAGATGTGATTAAAGAGCAAAGGAAAATAAGGTTGAACACCCTGTATTTAACCAATAAAGTGACCAATTTAACCAGTAAAAACATTAAATATTTGACAGCCTTATATTTACTGACCGCCCTTTAGCTAAATTCTCATTGCATAATTTACCACTCAACCAAATCTTTGCGTGGGAAGCCCAAGTATCCCCCAATTGGCACAGTGTTTGTTATTACACACGGAGTAACTGTCTCAGGGTACAGTTAAATGTTTTAAACAGCATTTTGCAAGAAGAGCTCAGCCATTAACACAAAGTTCCTGCTATTAGACGGCTTTTATCTCAAACAAGCTGAAAGGTGCATTGTAGTGAAGAAGCATACAAGATGTTTAAATTAGGATTTGGTACCGAGTGATCACACAGGAGTATCTTATTACAGTGAAGCTCTACCTGCTAAGTTCGGTTTTAAAATAAATTCATAAAAGTCCATCTTCAATTTTACAGTGATACATTACAATATACTGTAATCTAGAGAAGGCAACAAAGTGTTAACTCTCACCAAGGAAAACCAGGATGGTGCCAAACCACTCCATCCCAGTCATGATGTTGCCGAACAGAAGAACGGAGCCGAGGATGGTGAAGAACTTTCTCGTGGTGGTGACGATGGAGCAGGTCAGAGGCCCAAAGTAGACCACCGTCATGAAGATGAAGGTCTGATCGAGGAGTTTAAAAAAACAGACATTTAAGTTATAACCTTGAGGATTTCAAGTTAAAGTCACTATCCATTGCTGATAAGGTAACGATGGTGAGGGCAAATGGGCAAAAATGTATCTCAAAGTAAAGGATTTCTTCAAATCTCCATCCACGCACCTGGCCTAAAGCACTGGTCAGTCCAAACAGTATGATGTTGTAGATGATGCTCGGGTGGCGTTCAGTAAAACTCAGGAAATCCCAGACCTCGCCTGTCCATAATACCACTGAAAGCAGAAGTGAAAAATAATTATAATATCATATCAAAACACTAACAGCTCAAGTATTGAAACAAATTATTAACTATACAAAATCTGTTGATAATGTTGATGGTGTGGTCATATGACCCCACCAAGTGGTGAAATACGCTAACAACAGGAAGATGAAGCCGAGGTGTGGGGCTGCCATGGATTTGTGGGAGGGGAAGAATTAAACATCTTTATATTTTGGGAAATACCAGCACTTCAAAGCTTATCAACTTCTTATAAAAAAGGTATGAATATGTGGTGTCTTTATGGGTGTGCAAACCTTAACCTGAGGCCCTTTGAAGGAGTTTTAATAGCCTGGAACTCAAATATCACTTATGAAAACATATAGCATTTTTTTAAGTGTAATACGAACTATGAAAGTGTGAAGCAAATGTGCAGGAGAGATTGGCACTTTGTGAGAGACAGCAAGCACTGCCAATTAGTTTAGTTATACGAGTGATAACAGTGTCTTATAGTTCTCTTACTGGCTTTAACCTTTTGATCGTTATCTCTCAGCCGATTAGTGACTAACACTAGAAAGCCCCTCGTTATATTGCATCTCTTTTGGTGCCTTATTCTTCAATATATTCCTGCAACCCTCTCACAGAACTGACGGCTTTGACGTGCAGGATTCCTTATCTATAAAGATAAGACTGAACACTTTGCCTCGACTGAATTAATTAGTTTTAAACTCCGAAGAGAATGGTGTTTGTCTTCTCTTTAAGAGCCTCTAACACACACTGTTATTGTTTCGTTCTTTTTCACTTATTCAGATGGCCATTTTCTACAGCATCAAATCTGTAATTCACCCTGACGTGAGAATACAGATCAACACAACGAATAATGACATAACATTTAACAGTGCATTAGACCAACAGCAATGATATAATAGCTGTGTGACGACCGTGATGATACACAGCTCTAATGAGAGTAAATTAACATAAAATAATAATGTTGAAATCAAATTCTAAAATGTATATTGGAATGCTGGGAAAAAAATGTCTGTCTATTCATTCTGTATACAATTGGGATTTCATAAACATATTTGGCAAATGCTTAAATGATTGATGGTATCCTGTTTGAAAAATTAGATTCCAGTGGTAGAATTGTTTCCAAAAACTCCAGAGCATTGTAACGTCCAAAAGTCAACGTCTATTGAAAACAGAGAGAGAGGTTGTCATTTCCCAAATCTAATCTTTGTATTTGATGGATCACTTTTGAAATTAAGGATTTAGTTCAAGGATACATTATTTTGGGTTACGAAATATAAAATATGACGACAAACATTCAAAGTTTTTTTTAAAAACCTCTAAAAGAGCTATAAAATCATAACAAATTAACATTCAGCAAAGCCCCTTTATAGTGCTGCAAAAAGCCACATATTGTTGAACCACTGCTTTTGGCTTTCTCTGACAATTTGCAACTGCTTCCCAACAGGACTTGTGCACCAGTGTTTCAGTTTCATTCTGCTATATGTTGGCGCCATTGAGCCACACCACGGTGATTTTGCTCATTAGTTTCTCCTCTCTAGCTGCAGCTGTGCCAGTCAGTGAGATGGCCTGCTGTAGTTTTGGTTGGAATGAAACCCTTCATGCTTCCTGGCACTTCACAGCACATTTTTGGTGAGACAAGAGTTTGGCAGAGAGCACGGTGGACTCACCTAGTCCTAGCACCAGAGTGGACCACATGTTGATGTTCAGCATCATGTAGTTGGCACTGGTCTGGAAGCGAGACCTCATGTGATCCTGGGCCACACCAGTCAAACCGTCCAATGTCAGGGAGACCAGCTACAACATAGCGAAACACAGCACGAGACAAATGTCATGGAAATGTCACAGTAACCATGGCTTCAGGAGGGAGGAACCGATAGATTGGCAGCAGATGGGACTCAAGTAGGAATGCACCAATTCAACTGCCAAACATCTACAACCATTTGTATCCGTTGTGTTAAATTTGTAGCAGCTAACTGTTGTGTTGGATTTACATTTGATGTGTTTATTTTATGCTTCATTAGACACATATTTCTGTTTGACTATAAAAGGAACTTTTTATTGAGTGCTTTAGTTGTACAGCAGGAAAAAAGGCTTTTAAAGCAGTTATTTTTAGATTATATATCTATCTATATGTTGTTTTATAAATTGGTTGAATTTGACATTTTATTGTAATAAGTGACTTTGAAATGGTTCAGTTTTTTATGATGAGGATGTGTTCCTTTCCTTGGCCAAAACAGGAAATAAATGACAGAAAAAACAAAAACACTAGTATCGGCTATCATCAAAATCAAAATGTGGTTTTAAATGTCTATCAGCACAGAATTTCACGATGGGTGCATTCCTAGATACAAGCAGACTGGATGGAACATAAAGCGTTTAAACTCACCAGCAGAATCTCTCCAAACCCAAAGACATGGTCGTCTGCGACTGAGCTCTTATTGGGTTTGTAGAGGAACAACGCCACTCCGCTCACAATAAGCAGCACACACAGATACTTAGCCAGCGGGTACTTCTTCCTCAGTATCGTCACACCGAGGATCATCACTGCAACCACACAACAGCAGCATGATGGACATTTTCTTTAAGCCATGAATATCAGGGTGACATCTCTAGGATTTGAAGTAATCCTACCCTGATGCAAAATGTCAAGCCTTCCCCCCTGAGAGTGGAAATTATGGATTGCGAAAATGTGTGTGTGTGTGTCTCTCTGTCTGTCTTATTGTGTGTGTGTGTGTGTGTGTGTGTGTGTGTGTGTGTGTGTGTGTGTGTGTGTGGTGTGTGTGTGTGTGTGTGTGTGTGTGTGTCTCTCTGTCTGTCTTATTGTGTGTGTGTGTGTCTCTCTGTCTTATTGTGTGTGTGTGTGTGTGTGTGTGTGTGTGTGTGTGTGTGTGTGTGTCTGTCTTATTGTGTGTGTGTGTGTGTGTGTGTGTGTGTGTGTGTCTCTCTCTGTCTTATTGTGTGTGTGTGTGTGTGTGTGTGTGTGTGTGTGTGTGTGTGTGTGTGTGTGTGTGTGTGTGTGTGTGTGTGTCAAGAGATAACAAGCAGTGAGATATAACATTCATGTACAAACAGAACAAACTGTAAACTGCCATGTGTGCTCATATCTGCTCACATGTGAAAAGATTGTGCTTACCCAATATGTACTTGATCAGTTAAGAGAGATATCAGATTATCTCTTATTTGTAATGTACTATACTATATATACACGAGGGTATTCTGACTTGCTTGTTTAAGTTCGATACATCAACACATTAACCTATGAGATTTAGAAACCTCTGAGTTAGTCATATTGACACAGATCACGACTTGGCATGGATCTTGCACTGTAACAGATGTAGGCAGGAACAAAACTGCACAAATGCACTAATTCACTTTTAACCAAGAGCAATCTTTAAATGCTAATGAGTAGGATTTCTTGATGGCTGTTTGAAAACACATCATAATAATAGCAATGGACAACAAGAAATGTCCTGAACATATTATTAAAAAAAGGTGAGTGAGGGTCATGAGTGATGATAGAGTGGGATTATTTTTCATGAGCCTCTATGTTCTAAAATCCTACTCATTGTGCCTTTAAACATTAGTTTGACAGAACTGTTCCTATTCTCATTAGTTGTTATTACTTTTTTAAATGAGCATGAGATGTAATAGACTGCACCCGATTATTACTTGAGTGTTTATACCTACTTTTATAGATTGTTTAGTATAAAACTACAAATATTCAGGCTTGTCATTACATGAAACCAGCTGAGAAGTACCTTCATTCTAATAAGATGTATTTGTCAAATCACACAACGTATGATTACAGAAGTGATTCTCAGATGTACCTGGTATGGGCTTGCAGGACTTTCCCAACACCTATTGGCAAAGAAAACAAAGATTTAGGATAAGACGGAATGATACATTCATAAATCCATATTAGAATCATGTTACCAACTAAAAGGGCATATGTACCTGTGTGGGGTAGTTGACATACTGAAGGGCAGAGTTACTGGACACCATGGCTCCCAGGTAAGAGAGGGAACACAGCCCATAAAGCCAGCTCTGGGTGTGGTCTGGCTTTGAACCCTCAAAGAACTGGATCACTGATGATGAAGAGGTAGAAGTAGCCTCAGATAATGTTTATCTTATTTTATATTAACCATTTGGATAGATTTGAGTACTTCTTCTATATAGTAAATACTTACAGATCTTAGCAAACAGAGCACTGACAATGCACTGGATGAGGACCAATGTCCGGGCAAATACGAACTTCTCCTTTTGGTCTCCTTGACCATAGCTGCCTCGAGTGCTGGACGAGTCAAGGGGAACAAACTGTGTTGAGTGCAACAGATCACAGACAATCTGTATCTGAGGCTGAAATAGCCTCAAATGACAATCCTAGCAAAAGTATGGGCTGGTAAATGGTATTAGAGTTGAGCACTTTCAAGAGTCTTCAAGCTATGGAAAGGCCCCTTTAGAAAGGAGATACCATACTGCAAGTGACAGGCTGGGGTGGTGACATTTGGTTAGGGAACCATACATCTTTAACAACTTGCAAACTGAACTCAATGGGCAATAGTTGCCAAGAACATATAGGAAAAAGTGATGTCAATAGTATTAAATAAAGACATAGAATGATAGGCATTTATCAGGCATCATTTATGTTCGTGAGAGAGTTTCTTTTGTGAGACACTAGGTAAGCTTTCATTTTGAAACCAGATATGATCCCTGTCCCCTTTAGTAACAACATACCATCTGTGTCAGGCCTCATTATGTGATATGCAATAGAAACTAGTCTTCTTTTACTTTATATACCCTTTCTAGACAACTTTATACAACCATTATGGTCTTATGTGTTAATCAAATAAGGAAAGGTTTGCTGTATGCACAGTGCACACACATAATATGAGCCGGGTAGTGACATAGTAGCTTTAGTGAACTACAAATATAGATCACCTGCTGAATGGTATAACTTTAGAGATCAATACCTGGCATTTTCTAAAATGAAAAGAATATCACATCAAACTCCATTCATAAATATGACAATTTAATGTCAGCTTTGTCTTTGTCATCGGTAAAGATAACGTTGTATATCTTACATGAGTTTGCACAACGAGTAGATTGAACCCACTGGCAAATGGTGTACGTTTGTTGTGCATTACTTATAGCTATGCCATAGTACAATTAAGCTAGAAATGATTCGGTAACTGTCGACATGCAAGTCAGCGTTACAATCGTAGATTGTATAATGGAGTTTGGCACAGGATAGGACAATGTTCTATAACATACGTCACGCTAAGTGTTACTTACATAGTCTCTTGTAATATTCCGTAGTAAAAGTAACACACGAAGACTCCGAGGAAACAAACAATGAACCGTATCCGCATATTGTCCCATATCGAGACGGGCTTCCCGGCTCCCTTTCCCGGAGCCATGCTATCGTCCAGCAGCCCGGGTATGTTAACCGACACCGCTCCGCTGCCCGCTCCTCTCACACCGATATCCCGCTCCACTATAGACGACGTGACGAGCCCGGAAATGATGCTCGCGTTTAGGTGTAGTGTTCTGTGATGGCAGGCAAAGATGTTGCCTTTAAAGCTTCTTGAGCGCCGTTAATTTGTCAAAGCCTGCAAGCGGTATCTTGACTTCTCTGGAGCTGCACAGACAGTCAGATTTCATGACATATGTTTGTTCTGTATCATTCTCAGGTATCTAAATCACTCCTCCAGGACAGCGTTACTGTTAAAAACATCCCATTCCCACCTTGATACCTGTACTGTCAGCAGAGTACAGTAGGCTACGTGTTTTCATTGAGAAATAGTAGGAATAGCGGTAGCGACAGGGAAATAGGTTTTATGAAAGGACCTCAGTGGTGTCAACAACTAAGCCTGAAAAGTCACCAAAAAAAACATAATGCTGTCTTTAGTTTAACGATTATACGCAGATTAATAATAATAGTAATAATATCACAACCAGCTATTCTGTGATGAGCGCATTTTCATATCGTTTAAGTATAAGTACCAACACTTCATAATCATAATAGAGAATTGCCCATATCAGATATTAAATAAGTGCATCAAAAATGGTGATGTAAATTGTATCAAAGTAATTTTGCAGTTGTTAAAGATGGGGATAGCTTATACAACATTTTGGATCAAATTAGTTTATATACTGCAGGGTAACATGGCCAATAAAAGTGAAATAAAATAATCATATTTCATACATTTACATTTTGTAAATCTGCAAAGTTACTAAAGTTATCAAATAAACGTACTTGGCGTAAAAAATACAATATTAGCCTACAAATGTAGTGGAAAAAGTAGCAGAACATGGGAACACAACTACCTTACATGTTTTGATACATGTACTTAAGTAAACAACTAACTTACTCCCACCAAAGCAGAAAGGCAAATTGTTCTGCTTATATTTTTATTTTAAATAATAATAAAATAAAATATAAAATGTCGTGTGGCACCTGTAAAGGCAGCTATTAAAAACAATGAGGCCCTTCCTTGAAAAAGTCGCGTGCCTTTTTTCCGTCCTATGATGTGGATTAAATTCATTGGTCCATGTAGGTCAATAGAGATCCTTTCTCGTCCAATCGAAAGCAGATTTGGGTGGAAAAGGCGGTGCTTCGATTTAAAAACCGCAAATCCACGTGTCAAAGGCAAGCAACAACAACAAGAAAAAAAACACAGGAATTTTAAGTAGTATAGAAAGGATTTAAACGCCCGGAAAATCTGTTTATTTTTATTTGATCACAATGGCAACAGCACACTAAACACAAGTGGGAAAAGGTTGCTACATCATGTCTGAAAAAAAGGGCTGATAAAAACCTAATTTTTTTCTCAACGATATGTATTTTTTTGAATCAGTTTTGCATAGGATCATACTGACAGAGATAGTGTTGATCCATTTGAACATTAACTTGAGCAGAGGGAATCAACCTCTCCCTGTGGTCCAACGAGGCTCAGATTGAACAAAAACACTAAGCTTGGCCACTTCAATTCATAAGGTTTACAACCATTGCAAAAGGTTTGGTTAAAAACAATGCCCTCTGTAGGCAAGTAAAGCTATTCCAACATCCGTTATTGCCTGTAAAACTTTAAAGTATAAACAGAAAAAAAAAAATGTCTTCAGTGAAAACTAAAATGATATCACCAGCTCCCTTGCAAAGATACAAAAATATATATCTTTCTAGAAGTACATCTGTATAAAAGCCAGCTACCATTAAACTATTGACCAACAGACTTTCGAAAAAGTTATTGGTTTAAAAAAATTAAGCTGAACCATTCCTTAAAGGTGGGGTAGGTAAGTTTGAGAAACCGGCTCGAGATACACTTTGTTATATTCCATGGAATGCTCTTAACATCCCGATAGCGAGGAATATCTGAAGTGCTTTGACAAAAAATCCATTAAAAACAGTCATCTGTGGAAGCCGTAGTACTGTAAAAAGCACGACCAATCATTGTAGCCGGCCCGGCTAAAATAACTGGATGGCCTACCTGCCTGTCAGCCTTCCATCTGTGCACAAACTTATCTCGTGCCCTCAGTGGTCATGTGGGCGTTCGTGTGTGTTGGAGGAGGGGCTCTGTAAGGAAGTGGCTGATTTTCTCCGGCTGTGTATTTTCAAATTCTAGCGCACTCGAGCTGGTTTCTCCAAAATTACCTACCCCACCTTTAACTAACAATTAAGGATAGTAAACTACTCATGTGTTGTAAGTGCTTGTTTTTTTTTTCACTTTGAAGTCACTCTTTCACATTAAAAATGAAAACATCCCTAGCAGATTGCAATTTTTTTCTGAAATGCTGATGCATCAACTAAAAAAATATTTAGTTTTATCAAAAACAACAACTCAGACTTCAAACTTTTCTCTGCATTTCCAGAACTCCAGCCCTGACTTAATCCGTAGCCCACATAAGGGAATACTTATAATAGGTGCTGATGAGGTAAATATCAGCTTAACATGGCATTCTGAAAGCGGAAATAATCAGTAAAACAGACTAAGTGTGAGCCACAAAGCCTTTTTTTGCTCACAGTGATCATGGCACATTACAGCAGTGACATTTAAAACACAGTCAGTTGTAGGCATGTTCTGGCAGTGTGGTTTAGTCCTGAGAGGAGGCTACTGCAGGCCCAGGTGCCTGGTGGGAGAGGCCTGACCTGGGCAGCCTGTGACTGGAGAGACTGACAGGCCCCGGAAGAGAAGGTCCATGGAGGGCAGGAGGGGCTTCAGGAGGCTAACAGGGCAGAAAGCGGAGCCTCCATGAGGGGTGAAGTTGACTTTATTGCGGTCAGGGCAGGACGGCTGGAGGAGAGGCACGTCCCGAGAGGCAGACCTGGAAGTAAAGAGATGGATAGAAGTTGGCATGTACCCCATTATACTGTATCATCAAGGGCTCCAAATGCCACAGCTTTAGATGTAGTTTTGCACATCTGGAAAATCATAATACCATTTAAATAACATTATTATAGTTCTGTTATGATAAAAATGATTAATATGGCTCTAGTTGATGTTTTTATGTATACTTTAGTTATTTACATTATAACCACACCTTTATTTAAATAATTATATTACATTTTTTTGGATAATTTTTTTTAATATTATTTTAGATTTTCAAGTTTCAAGGCTTTGTCATTTGCACATTGTCTACAGTGTAGATATGGCAATTAAAAACTTAAGTCACAGGCTCCTCCAACAGTGCAACATATATAGGACATATAACTAATAGAACAGATACAATTGTGAAATAGAATGTTTTGAGATGTGCAAGTAAATACAAATAAAATAGAAATAGTGCAAGAAGAGATTTTCTACTAAACCTGGGCTGTCTCATAAGCAGCATTTCGCAGAAATGTATATCATGTAAATGCAATATTCACACCTCACAAGTTACCTTCTTCCAACCTTTTCTAAATTGGTATGATAAATGTTTATATTGAGTTAAGTTTAAATCTGATTTTATTTAAGAGCTTTAATTATATGCTACTGTTTGAGGAGGGGGGCTTCATGGGTTGCTCCTGAAATGACATATCTGGAACGTGAATATTTATTTCATGAATATATAATCAAAACATTATGTTTTGCTTACATTTGATCCTCGCACACTTGTACTCGCTCAGAGCCTTCTGGCGGCTCGCGCTGGAAGGAGTAGGTTTTGTTGGGACGAGTAGCGGAGGAGCAGGGCTTTAGCAGGGGGGGGTCCAGGGCAAACAGAGGTAGCGGCGTAGATGGAGCGGGACTTAGCGTCTCACAGTCGAGTAGCTCTGCTCAGAAAGACACAAATATCCGAACTTTTGTTAATAATATGAAAACTAACCATATATTTGTTTTATTTTTGGACACCACAAAAATGTAGAGTGGTCTAACCTGGCTCTCCCATGGGACAGGGAGACTGTGATGGAGACAGAAGAGATGGGTTCAATGGAGAAGGGGAATTTGAAGGAGACAGCAGCGATGGATCTAGAGGACAAGGAGACTGAGAAGGAGAGAGGAGGGAAGGATCCAGATCCAGGGGCCCTGGGGAGGGCTCACTCTGAGAGCCACTGCTGCACCTCTGAACAGGGACGGGGGCCCTATGGCCATCCGGGATATCCAAAATCTGGAATATTCAGGAGTCACAGGGCAATGTTGTTGTTTTTTTTTTTAAATCTACCTTTTTGTTACAAACATATCGTTAACAACTTTCCTAGAATTTCAACATCTTGACAAGATTTTTGGCCATTTAGCTTTTTGTTATACTTAAGCAAAAAAAAAAACACAGTGCATACATACAAAAAAAGGCGTTAAGCTTTTTATTTTTTGTATTACAGAAGTAAGCCAATACTGCTGCTATAATGTTTGGTTCAGTTTCATAATCATTACTTGAAAAATGTTCTCAAAACATGATCTGTTTAATAACCTTTTGCCTCACCTCGTGCTGATCGTCAGGTTTCTCAGAGACAAATGCTTCTTCCAGCTCCAGGTTCAGACCTTCAACACTGCGTCGCAGCCGCGGGGCGATTCTGTTCAGTCGCATCAGGGGCACAGTCTGAAAAACAACAATCGTTAAGACTCTTTGTTCGCTTAAATACTTTTGTGCAGAATGTGTATGTATCCATGTTGTGTGCACATTTTGATCCAAATAGGAGGTAGTGCAAGCAAAGGGCAGTATTAAATCAGCTAAATGTATCGTAAGAGCTTAACTTTAATGCTCATTTAATGCTTGTTCATTACCTTACCTAATTGTAAATACTTCAATTAAATATTCCCCATCTTATTTTGTTCATTCTATGTATTGTTATCTTATTTGTAAGAGACAAATATGTTGTTTGAATAACATGTAATGTTATTCTCTGTGTGCACATTGGGTGGTACTGTTGTATTATCAGGTAAAAAAGGCAAGGTAAGTCACTGCTGTCATCAGGTGGTCCACCAGGAAGGGCAAATGTTTTTTGACTGCTGCAATGCCTTACAGCAGTTTTCAGTTGCTTGTTTGTTTGTTCAGTCAAACCTTACATGTTGATGCATGACAAAGCAAATAAAATGATGGTTATCTTAATCTATCAAGTGTGTTTACCATCTTATTTTCCATTAATTTGGCATTCTATCCCTTTTACATGTTAATTATATGTTTATTTTCTCTTATTGAAAGCACTTTTACGAAAGGGGCTATACAGATACGGTTTAAAATCTATATTATTAATATTATCATTACTACCGGTATATAATATCGACCTGTCAATGTCTGACTAAAGACTCGGTCCTTGTTAAAGTATGAAATGCTGGTTTCAGATTGTCTCTTTGTGACAGCAAGGCAGAATAACAGGACGTGTGATGACAGCCGTTCCTAAGAAAAGCGCAACTGTTTTTAAATACCCCTGTTACCAAGCGCTTCCCAGTCTGCCCGTGGAAGACGGATTAGCATCAGCAGTTGTCCTGAAAACTTTGATCTCTGTGTCTTTTCCCCACATGTCATCAGGAGACATAAGCAATGGGTTTACCTGAGTGATGCCTGCTGCATGACCTGCTGGCAGGGGGTGGTGGAGGGGCTCGTACCCTGCTGAGGGAGGGACGTGGCGGGAACGCTTCTGCAGCTGGTTCCTCAGCTTGGCCACCTGAGGGCAGAGCAGAGAGAAAAAGCAGGAGTCACAACGCTTCTTTCTGAAAAGGGAAAGGTTACTCTCTTTCCCCTCAGGAGGCTGTTAATGTTTCGTGCTGTCAGTGGGAGGGTGCGGAAAAAAGGGTGTGAACAGTGGTGGAATGTAATTTTACTCTACTTGAAGTTTTACATTGAATTAAACTTCATATTTCACTCCATTACATGCTGTCCGACAGCTTTAGTTACTTTTCAGTCTACTGTTTTTCGTCCCCTCTTTGCACATAGTGATTTTGAATGTTTGTGATGAACTGAAGGATCTTTTTTTTTTATGTTGAGATAATTCTATTTCCATCCTAAGCTAAATAAACAACTGTACAACATCACTTGGATCAGCTGGAACAGGCATTGTCACAAGTTGAAAACAGGACTGTGTTTCTTAGATCATGGAAAGTAGATTGTTTACATACATGTGATTCTCACAGGACAAACATGTGATGGTTTCATATATTATGCTTCATTGCTGTATATTAAGCTACCCAACAGTACATGACAGAGTTATAATGAGCATAATCTTTAAGTACTGTACTTTAGTATATATCCAAGGTACTTTTATACTTAAATGATATTTTACAAATAAGGCTTACATACACTTACCAAATATAGCTTTCGAATTCAAGACTTTTACTTGTAGGAGTGTTTTTGGAGCATGGAATAAGTACTTTTTATTCCACCAATAGTTGTAAGTAAGAGAAAGAAACAGGGCAATTGATGATATAAACTCAAATACGTACCTCCCTCAGGTGCTCTGCACTACCCCACGATGCTGAGCGCTTGTGTTTGCCGGAACTTCTCCTCCCTCGGGTCTCTTCTGCCCAGGAACTTGGTGTCTTAGAAAAAAATATTATTTATTTTGTGAATAATAAGTGAGTATAATAATATGGGTCCCGAATTTGTCTAACAAACATTTGGTGGATGTAGTAGAAAATTGCCTTTTATGGCAGACATTTTGGCTGACCTTTCTGAGGCCTCTGACATGTTCTGTTTAACTCCATTCAACACTACAAGTTGTTACGAGTACAACACAGAAGTGGAGCCCAACAGCTGTGTTCCACACCTGCCCCAACAGCTGTTCGAGAAAACCACCCTGAGCTGCAAAACAGCCCTCCGCTTTCACACACATTTCAAAACATCCAAACCACATCTTTGGAAAGACTATAAATACAGTGCAAGTTCAGCATTCAACACTTCAGTGCACACAGAGTAACCTTGTTTTTCACCAAGTCACATACTGTAGAAGAAGAACAACAACAACAAAGACAAACAGAAAAGTTTCTTGTGCACTTCTTCTTTTGTCAATCACAACTACTCAACAACCTACTTTTACTCCTATAAACGTACCGATTTCTTCACATTGACTCTTGACTTTCTACCAGAGGGAGTCGGGTTGGCTTCTCCCGGCTCTTTGTTGGGAGAAGACGCCTCGCAGCTCATCCTCACCCGGTGTAACCCTTGTTTAGTTGACCCACAGGATCAAATGATCACAGTTTTGGTGCCTCCAGTCCACTGCTTCACACACTTGCATACAAATCGGATCCACGCACTGGTGCCCATGCCATTCAATAAGGCAACAGTACACATTTAGCCCTCACTGTGAACAGTAGGGTTGTGTCCTGGTATTCCATTCCCAAAATGCAAGCAGTTCTCAAGGTGTCCGCCTCACAACTCAGAGAATCTTATTAGTGCCATCACTTCCTGCAGTAGAAACGCAGACACCATCTTGTCCCCGTCCAGTGGACTAAACGTAGAGCATCGGCCGGCTAAATAAGTCAGGACGCGACATGGGTCAGTCATACGGTGACATCGGTGTAGAGTTACAGCTGCCAACCCCCCCTGAAATCATCCAACACCAACAACCCCACCCTGCCCAAAACATGAACAGGGGGATCATGGGACACACATCTATAAAAAGACTCAAGGTAGCAGAACATTTGGCTTGTGTTTCCAGCTCTGACGACTCATCAACATGTACTTAATTCCTGTCTGCAATATGGCCTCAATAAAAGGGAAATACAATCCATTTAATTTTGAATGAAAACACAGGAAAGCAGCTAATTCTCACATTTGGGAGGCTTGAGGAAGAACATATTTTGCCCTTTTGCTATATTCCTTGTAAATGTGTTTGGTGATCAAGATATTGGCCTTTTTATTTATAAACAAACTGATTGACTGAATTATTATTTCAGAATTAAACTGAAACAACTTGCATTCAAATGAAATCTACTGTTCCTGAAATAAACACTACCAAGCACATATTTATACTTTTGTATAAAATAACTTGTCCACAAACATGCTTGCACCCATGTAGCACATATCTGTAGAATAATAGCGTAGTAAAGACGGTTAACTACATGTTTAATCGTTATTCCATGTACAATTTATACAACATGTGACACGTAAATGTGTTATCTATATGGATCGGATTAATGTGTGCTTGCCACTTTACTCAATACAGTTTTATTTTGTCTTTATCGTTGTTGTATCTTTGCTGTAACAATGTACATTTCCCCTGTGTGGTGCTAATAAAGGAATTCTGAGTCTGATTACTGTGTGAGTGTAAGGTGTATTTAGTGTATACGTACAGTATATGTATAGCTATGTCATTTTACTTTATTTTTCTTAGCTTTATTTTCCCCATGTCTTTTTTATCTATCATTTTAATGTATAACTCTTCCTTTGTTTTTTTCACTTGAGCTGACGTAGCCGTATCTAGGGGTACCTGAAAGTATATTATTTTAATTTTGAATCTGAGTTACCAAAGATGTGTGTTTGATAATGTAAAATAAAAAAAGGTTCTGTCTCATAAACCCATGTAGGATATGTCTTGCTTTCTACATGATAAAGAAATACAATCTTTAAAATCTCCATAACTATAAATGGAACAATTTGCTGGAAGTTTTGAAAGTAAAAAAGCATACCAAATGAGGACTGAAGCAAACCAAGTTAAATCATTTAAAGTAATGCAGAGGATGGCAGAAGGACGTGCTGGGTGGGGTGTGTGTGTGTGGCTGAGGAGAGTGCTGGGGGATGGGGTGTCTGTATAATGAGGTCAGGAGGGGTCTGTTCCTTACAATGGAGGCGAAGGGGGTTTGTTCGGGTTTTAAACTGTGTCAGGATCGAAGACGAAGCTGCGGAGCTTGGAGAAGTTAGTCGGGGCTTTGTGCACCAGTTAGGAGCCGATACAGTCGAGGGGGGAGCGAGGGGAGAGCAGCAGAGTTTAAAGAAGAACAAAAACGACTATTTCCAGTTGGCTGCCTTCCACCCGTAGCGTCTAACTGGAACCACGAGACACCTGCAGAGCCAACATCAGATATCTTGTCCTCTATATAATCCCGTAACATACAAGAAAAGCAAGGCAGATAAAACATTTGGTCCCCTGTCTGCTGCGGCAACATGGAGCAACAGGCTTTATGGGAAATGTGTCCTTACACAGACTTCCACTTGAGTGGAAGGCTCTTGTTAAATGACAGTGATTACTCAGAGGTATCACCATTCATTTGATATTGTCATGATAAATTGATATGTACCTGTGTGGCTTTGTCGTTCACACAGGTAACAGCCTGGCTCTCTCCCTCTCTGGGCCACTGTCCCTGCAGGTAGGGGCCGATGATGGCGTCGAGAGAAAGCGTTCGGCGGATGGTAGGTTTCGGTGGGCGAGCTGTGTTCCTGTCAGCTTTGGAAAACAGAAATAAAAATACATTTAAGGGATTACTTTATCCATAAAATGTCCATTTGTATATCAATTGCATAACCTAGAGCTTGTAAAGAAAACGTTGTGCTTCTAGCATGCCTCCATGTCGACTACAATAATCTAAAAAATTATTGATGAGTTGAAGGATGTTGTATAGTTTTGCGGTTGTTGAACTTCAATTCATCAAAACTTTGTTCACAGAAGAAAAATGCAACAAGAAAAAGATTCCTTGAAGAATTCAAAGTAACATAAAGTCAGGGAGTATATGTCTGGGTTGTGTAAGCCTTAACACAGTACTTGTCAGAACAATGTCTGTCCTGCAGATCTCACAACTCATGCGTGATCATGTATAGCCTGATCGGCCAAGAGTATAAAACTCTCCTTAAGAAGCTAAACAGTATTTTGACACCAGTAGTTGTTTAAAGAAATTGCTCCCAGGCTTCTTCCCCACCAACGAGCATGCCGTGTGGAGTTGTGCATGTTGGCAGCTCTCTGTAATCTCTGGCAGGTGTGGACCATGCCTTTGACCTGGAGCAAAGCCATCCATCTACACAGCATAGGCAACAGTCACCACAGGCTACAAGTATACACACACAGTATGTTGTCATGTTGCAGGGCAGACAGGCAGAATGTATAAATAAACACGACTACATGCAGATGTGATTTGCATGGATACAGTTAAAGTAGAACAAAGCTGTGTTAGAGTGAAGAACGCAGCAGAGATCCCACAGGTTAGAGTGCAAAGGGTTGACTGGGTGTCCAGATAACATTTAGAGAGCAGTGTTATGTTTCAGGGGTTAGCAGAAGCCTTCATTGTTGACCTAACTTTCTCAAGGTATGCTGGGATTTTACTTTTAGACCGAGGGTCAAGTTCAATCTTTGAGGCAGTGATTGATCCATGAATTGCCGTGTGTTCGGCCTATGTAGCCATCAAAGCAAACCTGCTTTTAAAAAAAATGTTTTTTAAGTTTTGCAAGTCAAGAATTGTTCAATGAGCACACAAGTTAAAATGTCAGACTTATTCATTCAAAAATGGCTTGAGCAACCCTATTTTTCATTCAATGTGCTAAGTGCATTGGGCAGATGTATGATTTCCTTTGCATCATTGATTCATCTTTTGATTAAACCAGATAGTGTCAATTAAAGTTAGAAAGTTAATTCTTCAGAGCTAGAGTTTGTCCAAAGCCTGGAAATATTGAAGTTACAATAATATAAGACAGACAGACAGAATTAGCAAAATGACACTAGGGAATCAAATGTTAGACATATTTTCTGTTGAAAAATTATAATAAAACTACTGTCAAAATAGTTGCTTCTTCATTGTCCGTATTGATTAATGGACTCCACCATTAGCCTCTTTCTTCATTGTGATACAATTAAGAAAACAAGTAAATGAAACACTTGAACATATGTAACTGCGTATCTGAGTCAGATATTCATAAATGGGCATACACTTTTCAACACTGGACCACATGGAGGTGAATGCAGAGTTCACCCCCCTCTTCATGAGTTGTATTTACCCGTGTTGACCTCCCTGCAGAGGAGAGCTGAGCCCCTCTGGAGCTGGTACGGGACGGTGGCTCTGAGGGGCTGCAGGCTGGGGTTGCTGCACCCCCGAGGCGCTCCTCCACTTCTGCCCGACATTCCCCACTCGATGCTCCGCTTGTGAAAACACACACGGCCTCTCTTCTTCCTCTCGGTCACTGCAACGCGCTGTCTTTCTTTCTGCCCACATTCACTTCATCCACAGTGGTGGTGATGATGATCCAGAACTCTGGTGGGGCCCCTTGTTGAGCACCCAGCTTGAGATTTATTTTGTGATGATGACCATGATTTTGTGTCGCTTACTTTCGGAGCAGAGACGACCTGGGTGCAGCTTTGCAGTTTAAAGCATCTTGACGTTGTAGTGTGAGGAACAGACACAACTCACACATCGCTGTTCGTGTAAAGTGAAAACACAACAGCTCGGCTCAAACTGTGTGCAACTGTCTCGTGCAGTGTATGGTTCCTAGGGAGGGCGATCTGATTGGCCGCAGCAGAATACTACTGAGCACGTATTGGTCATTACGCCGATCCGTCTACTTAATGGGCCCCACCCCCCACCCTCCCAAAAAAAACTAAAAAAGTTAAAGCTCCCAAAGAAAACCAAAGCCTACAATTAAGTTAATCACCATATTAGTGATAGAATTGTCGGATTGAGTTTTGACTAAATGAAAGTCACATTTCTTTGGAATCACCTTTTAACTTTGATGTGAATTGGTCTATTCACTAGATGACTCTTTTTCACTCTGTGTGATGGACAAAACAAGACATTTGAGGACTAGACTTTTTTGTTGTTGTTGCATTTTATAAAACAAAACAACTAATTGATTACATGCGTTTTAAATTCACTAACAATATAAAAACCTACCCATCTCATACAAATCAAAGAGTGCAATTCAGTGTTTTATAGAAAATAATGAGTTTAGATAAACAAACCTCATCTTCATTATTCAACAATAATGTAATTGTTATTTTCCTTTTATTCAGTTATATATTAGCTACATGAGATGTCGTGTTATTATATAAAACCACAGTCTGGTGTGTTACAGGCTCCATCATCTTAATGGATACTTGCAGGTTGACTGAAATGTTATGGCTAATGTCACTCAACGATTTCCATCAATCTGTAGAACATATTTCTCCAGTGCAACCTGACTTTAGTACTTGTTTACCGATAAGATACATTATATTTTGTATTATTTTTAACCACAAGATGGAGCCAGTATCTTTTTTTGAATCACTGCTTGATTGCTTCAGTATTACTTTTTGTTTCTCAGAAAGATTCAGTAAAGATGCCTGTAATAATACAAAATAACTGATTATGGCATCACCCTTTTTAATAACACAGTGCAATGTACACAGATACACACATAATGGAAAAAGGTTGTTTATTGCAACACAAACAAAACTGAAAATTAAATTAAAAAATTAAAAAAATAAAAATAAAATACTGCACTTTAAAATAAAATCAGATAATTTAATATATGTGGTAGGCTATGATTAAATAGATTGAATAAATAGGTGCACAGATTGAAAGAGTGTTTATTACTTAAGCAGGAATGATATGCACGTCCAGGCTGACCCCAGATACCATTCAGTCACAAACTTTAAAACATACTTCTCAGTGCTATGCCTCTGTGAGGACAGTCATCCTCGCCTCTATACGGATAATCTGTATTTCTTAAAATGATCCTCACTTCTCTATTTGCAAGTGGCTGCATCCAAAGAGCTTCAAGTGCTGTTTTGGTTACATTTTTGACAGATTGAGGCGCACAAACAATGCCACAAAGGAAGAAAACGGATATCGAAATAAGGAGCAACATTGGAATACATTTTAAGGAAATTAATTGAAGCTTTGGAAAAAGGTCTGAAAGGAGTTTGCAGAGAAATTGCATGATCGGGATTTACAGATAGTGGTTTTGCGAGAGTGTGAGACAGGAGTCGAGCGGATAAGGCGAGGTGAAGGGAAAGAACCAAAAGAGATGGATCCTTTTAGCTTCATGGTGATTTTACTCTCATGTGTACAAAAATCCAAAGATGGTGTCATGACTTTCCCATGGAGCTGTTGATGGTCTTGGTGCATTATGGGTTGGAGAAGGATTTTGGTCGGGTTTATGGTCATCGCAGCATCACCAGGCAGACAGGCTAGGGGTTGTATCTCTGTGGTCAATGGACTGCATCTCCTAGCTGGGAGTGAGCGCGGGGCTGGGCTCTGTGCTGATGTTCACCAAACACTCGCTGGACTTGAGGCTGGCCAGGGACTTGGAGCTTAAAGAGGCCAGAGAGCCACACAGACCCAGCATGGAGGGAGTGTTGTCTTTCCCTACAGGGACAAAACAGAGAAAATGCACAATCAAACTAAGCCTCTGATTGTGCATACTTCAAGCTGCCCACATGAAACACCATGAACAGCCATCAAGCCTGCCTTTGTACGGTGATGTATGTGCATGTGCATGGGTGGCTGCCTCTGAAAGGCTTTTATGCAGCTGTGGAAGGAGCGCAAATATATTCCTACTCGAGCAGAAATGTTGCAACTCTACAACTGTGTTTTTTATACTGGAATACATAGTAAGTAAGTCAAATGTAGTTGTAAAATGTAGTTTGAGAAATACATACACACTTATATATACACACAAACTCAACTGAAATCGGTTTTAGATAGACAATTAAAAACTAAATATCTCACATTTGTATATTGTTTCCAACTGTCGGATGAAGCCTACATGATGAATGTACAGCAGTAGCAGTAAAAAGGTCATTTTACCTGCTGAAGTCCAAGCAGCATCTCCATTCTGTCTCCCATCATTCCTCTGAGAGTCAGAGTTCAGACTCATTTCAGCAGAAAGCAGCTCCAAACTGTGGAAACTCCTCCTACATGGACAAAAACATAATCTCAGCCCAAATACCTGATGGTCTGTACATTGATTGCATCTATAAACATCTGCTTATGAATGCTATGTGTTTTATTTCCCAATAAGGGTCTTATATATTTAGATGAAGGAACTGACACCAGTTTACCTGCGGAAAAGCTTGACATCACCATGGTTGTTTGGGATTGTGGACCACTGGTTGACCAGCGGGATGGAAAGATCTTTAGCCAGATGGGAGGTATCACAGGGCATGAGGGCAGTGCTGCAGGACACACAGAGAGCAAATCATTCAGTTCAGAAGCAATAGCTTTCGTTTAGCAAGCAAATAGTATCTCAACGTCAAAGGTGGTGGCAATAAAAGAAAAACACACAGAAAAATAGCTAATGCCTGTTTTTTCAGTTTCCCACAGCACCTTACATTTCCTTTATCTACAAACAGACCAACTTCTTTCCTTTTATCCAGGACTGCAACTTGAAATCAGATGTTTCAGAGTAAAACATGTGAAGTATTGCATCATTAACGAGCATAATCAAAAATCTGATCCGCGTTAACTTTCAGTTTATTTTCATCTTCCTTATAAAAGAATGAGTTGTGTCATTAAGTAGGTCACTAGTGTCATTACACATTTTCTACTGAGGAACATTTTTGCATAAAAATAACAACTGTTTTTAGTTGTATTGTTATTTAAAACTTCTTTTAAAACAAACAAATGAATGTATTCCAAACAGTGATGCGATCTGGAGCACATGTTTATATTTGGAGCTTGTTATTTAGGTAAATGTAGTCGAAGTTTGTGTGTTTCTCACAGTTGTGCCTGCAGCTCCAGCACAACCGCCTCCAGCTCCTTCTTCTCCTGCTGGCTCTGCACCGTCAGCTCCTCCACGTTGGCTCTCAGGTGCTTGTTCTCTGTCTCCACATTCTTCAGCTGAGACTCCCGCAGGCGCACCAGCTCCTCCAGGTAACCCTGCAACATGAAAATAAGGAGACAAGTTTGTGTGTGTAGAAGCACACAGTGGAACATATCTATAAATAGCATTCATTTGGTTTTAACAGCTGTTGTTTCTCACCTTCTGGGCATAGACGATTTTAAACCTCTGCTCCATCTTGCGGCACTTGTTGCTCCAGCTCTCCTCGTCGGTCACCAGAGGGATGTAGGGATGCTCGGGGACGCTCTCCTCACTGTTGCTGCTGTCCACACTGTGACGGTCGTCCTCATCACTCAGGTAGTCGTAGCTACACAGCACAGAGGCAACAGTTATGCAAAACTGCACACAATGTGATGCATAAACTGGAGTTACTGGATCAATCTCACCTCTGAGTGAACTTCAGGTAAGGTGTGTAGTCGATAACAGCTGAGGATTTCCCATCCAGAGTCTCCCCTTTTAAGCAAAAACTGCACAGAAACAGAGACAAATCCTATTTAACAAACCTGAAGGGTGGATATTATCATTAAATATCAATGTTTTTAAATATAGAATGGAGCTACAGTTTGGTTTTATATGTATATAGTCTGCATGTACAATGTAAGATATAATAACCCATTTTAGTACCTCAGCCAAGGGGGATTTGGCTTGTTTGTTGGTTTGTCAGCAGGATTGTGGAAAAGCTACCGGCCCACTTTTCGTGAACATTAAAGTATATTCGAATCATAAGGTGGATACATTCATTATTTTTTTTCACTTAGGGAAACGCTCTGTGTAGAGGTCTTCACTCTGAAGTGAGCTTCTAGTAGTGCATAAATGTCAGACGTACTTTCCTTTACATAATTTAAACAGTAATATATTAAACATGAGAAAGTGCATACACATCATCAATGTATTATTCATGAATACATACTACCTACTAATACCTTAACAGTTGCTAAATGTAGGTGTAGAAATGTGGGGTACATGAGGTCAAAACATATTTCAAAAACAGTGAAATTATATTTATTTGATATATTTCTATAAAAAAAATATAAAAGCATATGCTTTAACTTATTATTTCAGTATTATATGTTAAATTATACTCATAAAATAGAATAAACTTTACCCTAATGTATATTATATCTTGAAGACTCCTAACAATAATTCCTAATTATTGGTTTGAAATGAATGGAACAGGCAAGAAAAGGTTCAAAGACTAACCTAACTTAGGATACTTATAAAAGCTTTCAAATATAAGCCACCTAACTTTGTCAATTTAAAAGAGCCTGGTGTGTACTGGTTCATGTACTTTCATATTTAAAGATCAGAGTATGCAGTGTAGCTCTTTACCTGAAGTCAATGGCACTCAGTCCAATCAGCATGCCAGTCAGGACCTGCGCCTCTTCTCTCAGCATAATGGCTCCATCATCATAAAACCTCCTGTCAAGAGAAAGAGTGGTTTCATCTCAGAACTTTAGGATATAATAATGATAAAGCTGTGAAGCCTTTTACATTTTTTGATGCTAAACATCTGTAGGAGCTGTGCACGTCCCTCAAAGAAACGTAGGTCTTTGAATTAGACTGATTATCATGAACAGCCATAACCACCAAGAAGCAGGTGTCACTTCAAAATCCAAAATATACAGAATAAGAAATGTATTGTATGTCCTTTTAAATAATGGATTATGACCTGGTTGTTCTTGTGTCCCTCAGAGCAGTGGACACATATTCAGACAGACGTTTCTCCATCAGCGCCACCCGAATCCATGCCCGCCCCTGTAAGACAACATCAAAAGTGAGTAGGAACAGATGGCTTTCTGAGCGGCTCTGTCTTGCAATAACCCACACACATACACACACAGTTCTGCATAAAGTGTCCTTGCCTTGGCTCGTGATGTGCTGATGTTCTCTATGTTTTCGATGCTGGCGATGCAGTTGTTCTGCACCTTGCCGCACGCCAGCCGGATATACTCCCAGAAACTTCGCTGTCCATCTGAGCTGAACCAGCTTCCTGAACCTGATACAAGATCACAACACAGCAATGCATCACATCTGCTCTGAATACATGTATGCCCCACTTGTTTTAAATATTTTCATGTTAATATACATTTGTCTCATGGTGGTTAGATTTTTCCATCCATTTATGTGCCATATGTTACCTGCAGTGTTACCTTTGAAGCGGTGGCTGAGGATGTGCTCTAAAATGGCGGCAAAGTTAATAAACTCCTCGGAAGAGTCGTCTATGGGCTCTGCTGTGTACTTCTCTAGGAGAGTCTTTACAGAGAATCTGAAAAGAAGCAGACAGAGAAAGAAGAATTAGAAAAACACAAGACGGAATGGAGAAAATATGCGAAATGAAGTGAAGGATTTGGACTTTCTGTTGGTTGTGCGTTGCACTAGCGGTTAAACTGAAGCCTTTTACTGTACCAGAGCAGACAAATGTACTACTGTATTTGAATCCTTCAACAATAGCGGTGAGGAGTTTTTTTTCTCTTTTCTTTTTTGGGAACCACGCCATCTTATTGTACTGAGGTCACCCCAATTGTCTTGTGTACTGCACAATGTACCCCTTAGTGCTTTGGCAGTGTTATCATGAAAACAATACAATTAACCCCCTGTCTTTTCAGCCTTTGTGCACGCTGTGCTTCTAGGTCCCCTTGGGTCTTGTCTCTCTCAGGGACCGGCCAGCATCAAAGAATAATCCAATAACCCCCCCCCCCCCCCCAATCTTTACATGGTGGTCTGATCTATTTAGGGCAGTCGCAGCCACAGTTTAGGGTTTGTTTTTTACCCTGCTGCCACACAGGCAGTGGTGCAGCGTTCATGTTAGGAGCCAGCATTCAGGCACGGGCTCGGGCTGACTGCCGCTGCTTCTACAATGGGAAATACTAGCATCACCGAGGGCAAGACTGCCATGGCAGTGGGAAGCACCTCCATAGCCAGGGGAAAGACTACTGTAGCCGTGGGCAACTCCTCCGTCTTCAGGGGAGTGACCACCACCTCCATGGGAGACTCCACCATCCAAAGGCAAAAGACGACGGTGGCTCTGGGACGGGCCAGCTTCAGCCGGGGAACCACAACCACCTCCTTCCGCAAAGCCTTGATGTCCAAGCGCAAGAACACCTAAATGGACAGGACCCCTGAAGCCAGGGCCAAGACACCCAAAGCAGCCAAGCCGTCCAAAAAAGACTCTAACAATGAGTGGAAAACCACATTCTTGTCAAGCAAGACCTCCTTCACCAAAGGCAGGGTTTCAATCCTGAGGACTAAGTATGCCATCTCCTGGGGTAATTCCTCGATCTCCTGGAGCAGAACCACCGTAACTTTGGGCAACACCATTGTAGCGGTGGGCAAAACCTCTGTCACACGAGGGGAGAACACCAGCTCTCTCGCTACTCTGACCTTCACCCATGGGACCAAGTCTGTGTCAGTGATTAAAACCACCCTCATCAGGGGCAAAGAAACGCACAGCAACATCTACTGGAATTTTCACACATGATTCCGCCCCACAGTTTAAAACCCAAGGATATTTCTATCTGCTCAGTTTTAGCAGGTCAGTAGTAAAAGTCAATACAAAAAGAGTTGCTCTGCTTATGTTCAGTGTGTGACATCATCTGTTACCTGTTTGCACAAGGTGCATTTGCAAGTAAGAAAGTGCTAAGGGAGTAGCAGAACTAATGGGTTTGCAATCAAGAGTGAGATTTTCCAAAGCCACGCTGAGTGTGTTATGCAAATGTGACAGCAAGAGATGTTGTTTTATGGTGTGTCTGCTTGGCAGGGAGGGAAAATGTGTAACAGTCGTGTGGGATGTATGTGGTGAAGCACAAGAGAGTGTGTGTGTTTTTCATCAGCACTGTTCTCCTGTACATTGTGCATGTACAGTCATCAACTTGTCAACATCTTTGGTGCAAATGTAGTATTTTAACATTGGTTGTTAGCCTGCATTTCCATTACATAATTTTTCTCCAGAAAACACAGTTTTGAACTAGAAAAACTGTAATGTAACAATGCTCATAAAGTAACATGTTTAAACACTGCTTGGCTTGAGTGTTTTGTAAATAGATTTGCGTTTTTGTGGGATATAATATAACCTAAATGACATAAATGTTAGAAATAAAAGACTCAAATACTCTAATGAGTTGCAAACAGTTCAGCAAGGACACAAATGGGTAGTAAACAGCATCTAAAGGGACCACACCCATATTTTAAATGGAGGGACAACATAAAAAAGGAAGGGTGTAATTAAAGCCTCAGCTTCACTTGGAGAACATGGAACATATTCATCCTTTCTCTTGTCAAATCTGTAACCATGCCACTGATTTCACATATGGTATATACAGCCGTATACAGAGGCTATGTCCTACAATCAGAGGCTATAGGGAACAATGGCTCAGAAGAAAGTGATGTCACCACAGATTGCCCCCGTTGCAACAATGTGTCCTTCAACCGTCCGTGTCGTCGTGGAGATGGGACAATCACTCCACTGTCCCGTCCCCCCAGATAGGCTGTGGCCACCTACGGCTGCCTCTGTCCATTCACAGGGACACATGGGTGGTATGTGGCCTTCCACAGCCCACGTCGATCATCTCAAGGAAGGCATTATGTGACACGGGGGTCGTGCTATCCACGCTTAGCATTCTGGTCTGCTCTGGACAGTAGCTGATGTTACTATTACCGCCGAGGGGCAGAGCGGGACGTGCTGCATGAGTGTGCGATGCTTTGCATCGAGTGAGCCCCAAAACCCGTCCTCGAATCTGGGTCAGGAAGACAAACCTCTCAATGGGCAACACCAGCTTCACCGAGGGGAAGACGGCCTTAACCCTGGGCAACACCACCATAAAGAGGGGAAAGTCCAAGATTGCCATGGGGGGCTCCTCCATCACCAGGGGCAAGAGCACAACATCCCTGGGCACCTCCACCATCACCAGCGGGAAGACCAAGATCGCACTGGGGGGTGCCTCCTTCAGCAGGGGCAGCACCACCACCTCTTTTCGGAAAGCCCTCTTTCCGAAGCGCAAGACTCTCTAGATGAAAGGGGAGCTCATTGTGGGGTGGGGGGACTGGCTCAAAATGTCACAAGAAAGAAGAAAGAAGTATCAGAGAGAACAATTGGACATCACTTCAGAATCTGCACGGGGTCTGTTCCAATTGAGAGGCAAAACTGGAATACATTTACTTTTGGACCTTTGACTTGTTTAGAGCTAAGCCGGATTTATCAAGGGAACAGGTCAGTGGCATCTAAATTCTGTCTCATGATGATATCTGCATAACAAAGTGGGATGTTAGGATGTTATGTGCTGTATTCAACCATGACCCAAAAGGTAAGAAATCCACTTAGGTGATGCCAGTTTGCTAGTCAGCACAAATATTGTGTGTTGGGGCAGAAATTCCCAATCATTGTCAATTGAAACTTCCCAAAGAGATATGTTCCTTTGAAATGACTTTGTCTTAAGGAATCCCATCACTAATGACATTTTGTTCGATATGATTAAGTCTAAGACTGTATTATTTATTACGTCTAAAACTTAGGATAAACAGTGAAAAATATGGTCAAATCTGGTTATTTCTGCAGACTTCAAATCACAGAAAATTGTAAGAAATCAAGCAAATTCCTCATTATGCAGAGGGCCAAGCCCTTGGAAAACCACCAAGTGCTCCCATAAGTTACCCATGCCCAGTATAAGCCTGTCATAAATGGCTGCATGTGTGTTGATACAATAACATTTTGAATCAGAATAGATGAAGGGTTAGGGTTAAAAACTGTTGCAAAAGGCCATATCTAACCTGATAAGCAGCGTTATCTCAAGGGGAGTATTATAGCAACTTGTGAACTGAAGTCCTTTGATCTGAAGGGGGATTGCTGGCATTCCTCAAATGCAAATGGCTGGAGTGGAATAGCATAATGTTCTTGGTACGATTTGACACTGAAAAACAACTGCAGGGCCTTCTGACAAGCTTCTTTTGTGCCCCCTCTCACTCAGCCTGGGCTGCAGCCAAGCCCACTCTCAGCTGAAATGCTCTGTTGTTCTCCTCTCTCAACCCTCTACTGTACTTTCACAAGTGTGTTTGATCAGTAGCTCTGACCTAAGATAACCAAAACTGCATTTATCAGCAGTGAAACCTAATCCAAACACATAAGGCTTCACATTAACCCTCTCAGATTCCTTTTTCTTTCCCCTGACTCCTTTCTCTTTCTCTCTCTTCCTCTTCCTGTCTCTCTCTTTAGTCTTGGCATAACCAGCAGGATCAGATGACACAGGCAGACTCCTCACTGGCCGCAGCATTGTGTAACACCAGCCAGTGCTGTTGTTTATCGTCCTGGACTGTCGGGGGAGACGTCCTGTACTGGATCTGCACAGACAGCCACAATAAAGAATGCTGTGCGCTTTGATAAATATTAAGACAAGAAATTAGAAAATATGGCCCAATAAAAATAGAAAAGACTTAAAAATGCAACTTCAGCAGGGTGTGTCTCTCTCTCACCGGCCCCGTCTGTGAATTGGCGTCCAAGCAAAGTGTTTCATGGTCAGAGGAGGTGAATAGGGATTAATGTGCAGTGAGGACAGTGAGGGCATTGGGCGGGAAGTGATGAGAGTGTAAAGCAGGTGTTCGTAGGGTGAAATGAAGAATAACAGGGTGTCACAGAGAAATTGCTGGTGGGAGAGAAGGCTGATCCTATGCTGAGATAAAAAAAAATGGTCATACCTGCATATATTACTGCTGTAATTTCACATACTTGATGGTATAATGAATAGGAAATAGGGGAAGAATGCAAAAAAGGCTGCACAAAATCTGAACTATAACACATTGTCATTCCAGACATGAAAATAGTTGTTTTTATTGTTTCTTTCAAATTAAACTGAGAGGTGGAATGTGGCACCTTTTACTTTTGTTTGGGATTTGCACAAGACATTTTGTTTTCCTCTCAGGCCACGCCCCCAGAAGGGCTCAAACCTTAGCCAATATGCAGCACATCGCAAAGGGATAACACCTTACATCAAACCTGTCAACTCTCACTCATCTTATCTATTTTTTCTCAGGTTCCTCGTGTCCACGGCAACACTGCTCCTCCTGTCATGGACCACTTAGCCAGACACAAGCAACAAAACAGTACATTTTGAAATATATCACAGACCAACAAGTCACCTTTAAACATAGTGCCTTGTGATGTTAAACAATGTTTTGGCTCGGGTAAATAAACTATAGATGGATGGAAATTCCCAATGACTAAAAGAGAAAGATTCAGCCCTCCCATGTTAACATAAACCTGTTGCTAGTGGCAACAGCAGAGACACTGCAGATCACAATGACACTGCTGTCACCATGGACATGATAAATACATCACAAGTCTTTCTAAAGCCATTAAGACAAAGCCCCTCTGATTTGTTCTGATGTGGTCAGGTATTAAACATTATTATAGCTAAAATCTTTAAGGTCAAAGTATAAAATGTAAGTATTGTTCTGGTGAAAGCATTTGGATAAACTCAAAAAGGCCTGAATATTCTGCTTAATAGACATTTTTAAATCTGTACAACTGACTTTGTTATTCTAAATTTTAAATATTTGTGTGTTTAAGTCTCTGAAACTGTTCCCTGTGGTGATGCAAATGTTTGATCAGGTTTTTCTTTATTATACACAAATGTCTATTGCTGTGCATATGTGTTTTTAAGAGGACACTTGTCAACACAAGGCACTGAAACATTGAGCAGATCTCTGTGCCTGGTGCTGGTGACCCACATTATGCCAGATCATGTGAATACACTTTCTTTTTCTGATATGCCAGTTTGTTTTTGTTATGACTTCCATTAACAGACAGGGGAACATGTGACATTTCTGGACCCTAGACCTAAGCAAAAACAGACCCCTTTTTTCTGAAGTTCCACAAAAAGACATATAACTATATCCAACGACTTGTTGGGAAATGTTAATCTCTGTGTGTGCCGATGGTATTTTAGATGTGTATGATGTGACACTGAGGGAAAAGAGGTCATACTTTATATACACACAAACAGTTATAAGGGGGAAATAAAGGCTTGGCCTGCACTAATCTAGCACTAACGTCAGCTCAGTTACTGTGGCCAGGCAGCAGTTAGAGCTGTGAAGGTAAATGTGTCTCAGCAGCAGCACAGAGCCTGGATCCTGTGCTGCACCAACAAGACGCCCAGTCTGCTTTAATGCACAGCTACTGCTGATTCAGGATCTCTCTCCTAAGAGATCGTACAAACAACTTTTGACTACTTGAATCATCTCTGACCAGAATGGCATCAAGAAGAAACACATTTTGCTTTAAACAGGTCAGGAAGTACATGAAAGATGCAGATGCAGCGACACAGACACGCCTGGAAGAAGATGCCCTCCAACTGAACCTAATCAATGTCATGTAGTTCATTAGAAGATGGAAAGAACATGTAGTAAGCATTACTGATGGAAAGCTGTTTAAGATTTATTTATGTCTTGTCTTGTCTGTTTGTCTTTAAAAAGCCTAAATTATTAAACTGGTTATTAAACTAGGGTCAGGCCAACCCGAAAACAACAATGTTTTTGTTCTCTTGCTAAACTTTCTCTGTTTTGTAAGTCAATTGTGATACTTTTCTTTCTTTGCAGGCATGCTATGTGTTTCATTGTGTGTTTAGCTTTACTGTACCTGTCACTAAAATGCAGACAGGGCCTTGGATAGAAAGGTACTGGAATAAAAACGCTTGATTGCTTGTCTATTTAAGTGTCTGGACTTTGTCTTTTTTAGTTTGTCACTATGTACATTCACTGTATATAAGAGACAACACAACAGAATGGAGGTAAGAGTGACGTGTGGATGCATGATAAGAAGTAATTATGTTGCAGTCTGATAGAGTCAAGGTGCAAATCAACACCCATTTCAATGCAATAATACATTTGATAAGAGCATTATAAAAGGTATGAAAGTAAAAATGTAATTCCTACAAGGCTCTTGTGATATCACAAAACATTCAAATACTATTAAACATAATTATAGACAGACAGTTGTTTTGGTTGGCCAAAACTAGCTGTATGAAGACATTCCCTCAGGCTCTATGAAGACAAATATTTTTCACACATTTTATAGACGAATAACAGTAACACAAGTGAGTTTTGTAGCAATATGAATTAAAGACAGTACTTTATAAAACACTGAGACAATAATAAGAAGCTTTTCATGACTACAGTTTATTTGTAGTTCACTTATCTGACATCAAAAGGGATATACTGAAAACAACAGCTACTCAGTATCCCTTTTGAGAATAATATATAACTTAGATTGAAATTGTTGGAATATCAATGCAAAACATTGATGTATGTGTTTTGGACTAAAACACAGAAAACAATAAACGATAATTACTAATAATATATCATTGAGTCCATCAGACACTATTTAGTTCATAAAGGATATTTTTTGAAATACTACAATACATTTTAAGCAAACTTTTCTCTATGAGACGTCACACAGGCTTCAGATCCTGGGGTTTCTCTAAAGAGATAAGAATAAAACACTTATATTAATGTTACACGAAATAAACCAAATGTGTTTAGAATTGCTTTTACATTTCAAGTGAGTATTGGGTACATTACATTCATGTCCTCTTGGCTCATGAACATTTCTACATTTTAAGTAAGGTCAAAAAAGAATAGAAACTACTGACTTAGATCATCCCTCAGTATGATACACAACAGATGACTTAAAATGTCAATCATACCCGAAAAAAGGAAAAACATGACACCAGTGTGGATGAATCCTCGTCACTGGCAGAGCAACATTTAAACACTAAATCAGAGGGATGTAATTTACATGAGCAACTGAACCTCTCATCAGGTGAGTTAAAGGACCTCTCAGCTCTCTGGTGCACATGAGTGTACATCCCTAACCTTTCTGATCGCTGTATGAGACCGTGATTCTATGACTGCACATCACATCATAAGCACGCACTGTAGTGTATAGGCTGATGGCTGGTGATGGGGGAGGAGTCCTTGCTCTGCTCCCAATGCCCTTGTCCCATTCAGACACACAACCTCACTGTGATGGAGGAGGACACCTGCTATGAGGTCTGGTGTTACAGACAATATTAACCCACTAGTCTCATTGTTTATCCTTTACAGCTGTATCTATCAGTACAAACAGGAATCAAGCAGGTGTATCAACCTGTTAAACAAAGGTTTAAAAGAGATCCTGCATAAATGCCACATCAAAATATGGAATTTGGAGCAATAATACAACAAAGTGCATCCAGGAAAATGCAAAGGAACACATTCAACATGAAATGAATACTGTAGGTCTACAAAAAGTGTGTGCAATGGCGGGGTATGTGAAGGTGAACATGCACCTGCCTCCGTTTCCTCCTTAGCACTTCTAGAAATATGTCCATTTGCCTGCATTACTGTCCATCTAAATTGGGTCCCAGAAAAAAATGTACATCCCCCACTGTGGAGACATATTACAATTATGAATATGGTAGCATGCAAGGACTGGCTCTTGCAGATTATGCTGTAAATAGAGGGTGTCGTGATGTATACCTGCAAACAGTGATGAGGTTTTTCCGCTCCAAACCGACGCTCCGAGCAGACGCCTTTTTCGATGTCAGACCCATAGCCATTGCTGTGTGAATGCAGCCCGACTCCATCCAGCGGCGGCCCCGGGGCCTCTTCGGGATCCGTGCCCAGGCCAGGACCCCTCCCTCAGCGGGCCCAGTGTCCTACAAACACCCGCTGTCCTTTGCGGGGAGCCACGGATGCTGCTGCTGGAGGAGGAAGACGGGAGAGCGACGAGCAGCGTGAAGGGAGAGGTGATCAAATGTACCAATTCCGGTCAACATTTTCAAAATAAAATCGGCCTCAGGTTCTACTGTATTGATACCTTTATTCCTATCTATATTTCCGGTTGTATTCAGCGAGTGTCACGCACTTGGCACAGATGAGGAAAATGATGCCATCAAGTATTTTTTGTACTTGTGGTGAATGTTTTCCCATTCTATTGTGCATTTATGTGTGTTTCATTCAAGCAAAAGCTACACAAAAACAAGTAGGCCTATTAAGAAATTAAAAAAATTAAATAGGCTCTTGTTGTGTGTGTTCTTTGAGAACAGAACAGTACATTTTTGTTTAATGTATTCGTATTTAAAAAAAAAAGAAAAGCTTTTGGGTTTAGAATAAATATATTATGACTAGTAGTAATTATCCTCCTTACCAGCAGAAGGATCCGAGACACCAGAGGGCGCTGTGGTCACGGAGGTTATTTATTTATGTATGCAGTGAAGGGAAGATGGCGGAGTCTGAAGAGCCAAAAGCGGGTCCTTGCACTTTTCTGTTCAAAAAATCTACTAAGAAGTTCTCCGGGCGAAAAAGAAAAGCGAGCGACAGCGACAAAGGTATTAGTTCATCAATAAGATAGTTTGAGAGTTTTTTTTAGGATGCAAATCTCGTGTTTTGATTTCGCTTTGGCTTTGTGAACCGTTCTGAAATGTAAACACGTTAGCTCAACGTTAAATGGCGAGATGTTTTGTGTGAAGGCATTCCTGTCTTTGATAATAAAACTTACATTTACCTGGAAAGAGACAAACTATTCGAAAGATGGGAGCAACCCTGCACACTGCGGGAAGTTTGGGAACATGTTGTAGCTTTAAAAAACAGTTTTTCATTTGAGCTGCGTTCACGCTTCCTCGGAATCTTTAGGATTATGACATGTTTGCACCGAATGCGTTTTGCGGCTTGATAGCTGAATAATACAGACATTGGCAGAGATGTATTCACAAGATTGACCTAAGTTAAGTTACCAATCCCAAACGGTGAAAATGCCCCAGCTGCTTTAACAACAAAAGTTTAACTAAACGAAACTTTGTTTCAGATGGCAGCAGTGATGAGGACAAGTGCTCTGTCGTCAGAAGGGGAAAGAAAGACACTCGAGGCAATCCCATGATTCAAAAGGTACAATTATAATAACAGTAATCATATATTATTTTAATCTATTTTGAGTTTAATAACCTAGCCCTGGTCTTTTCCCTCTCTAGTCAAAGAAGGTGGAGAAAGATAAAGAATCGTCCAGTGAAAATGAAGAAGAAAAAGAAACAAAGAAGATCACTGTTGCATACAAGTCCACACGGTCAGCAGTGAGTTGAGACTTTTGTTCTTATTGTATTTTGTATTAGAAGCAGTAACCATAAAGTGAAGGAGAAGCATATTTCTCCTGTAAAACCCATTGTTACAGTGCCAATGAGCAAGGATAGTAACCTCCTAGCTGCCGCAGTGGAGCAACAGCCTTGTTCTCCATCCATGTGTGTCTGTGCTCTGATTGTTTTTCTGCATTCACTGTCTGGTGTTGTGAAGCCACAATCTCTTCATGCAGGCATCTTTCTCACGCCTTGCTTTTCTCCCGATCTCCCCCAAAAAAGAAACCAGAGGGACCTGATGACAGGGGTGCAACTGCCACTTATGAGATGGACACAGAGAAGGACAATGACGCTCAGGCGATCTTTGAGAGGAGTCAGAAAATCCAGGAGGTACAGAAGATTACATGATGTACATAAACATAAACAATGTTTTTTCTTTTTTAAATATACAGTTTTGGGCATAGTGTGAAAAATATGGCTCAATTGATTTTAAAAGGATGTATACTTGCACCTCATGCCACTCAAGAATGTAATGGGTTCTTCCTTGGCCTAAGCTACACCTTTCCAAAACTTTTCATGAAAATGTTGGCACGTTGACAGTTTCATGTAATCCTGCAGACAAAACATAATCAATGTATTAGATGGAGTAATGAAGTTTCCTATTAACCGAGCAATCCTTTTTTCTCCTTCAACAGGAGCTAGAAGGTAAAGAAGACGATAAAATCTACCGCGGTATTAACAATTACCAAAAATTCATCAAGCCGAAAGATACCACCATGGGCAACGCCTCCTCTGGAATGGTCAGGTGAGAACTATGGCGAGACATATTAAGCACAAGCTTTCAAAAGAAACGCTTCATCTGTCAATGCTCAAATGTAGTATATTGGTGATGATGCATATATTTTATCAACAGGAAAGGACCAATCCGAGCCCCTGACCACCTGAGAGCCACAGTACGGTGGGACTACCAGCCGGACATCTGCAAAGACTATAAGGAGACAGGGTTCTGTGGCTTTGGAGGTGTGTATGAGTGTTGTTCCATTAAAATATCGAAGTCGTCTGTTGAATAATTGTAACACTTTAACATCAAGATCATTCACTTTAGTGTTCTTCATCTTCTCCTCTCCTGATGTCAGACAGCTGCAAGTTCCTCCACGACAGATCGGACTACAAACATGGCTGGCAGATTGAGCGGGAACTGGAAGAGGGCAGATATGGAGCAAACGGTAAGTTCAGGAACAGGATATCATGAGGGGTTTTTTTGTGCCTGCATCAGCCTTTCCTGAACAATGCTGTGCTTTCATTTAGATGAGGAGAACTACGAAGTGAGCAGTGATGATGAAGATTTGCCCTTTAAGTGCTTCATCTGCAGGGAGTCCTTCAAAAATCCCATCATCACGAAGTGAGTTCTTCTCGTGTCTCCTCTTCACTGTTCACCACCAGTTGCAGTGAGTTAACCATTTGAATGTCTCCCAGGTGTAAGCACTACTTCTGTGAGACTTGTGCTCTTATGCATTACCGCAAGTCCAAGCGTTGCTATGTGTGCAACACTCAAACCAATGGTGTCTTCAACCCTGCTAAGGGTAAGTTGGGCTTTGCAGAATGTCTTTTAACACTTGAAGATGTCTGTCATATTTTATGACATCATTACCACAACAAATATTGTTTTGTTATATCATTGTAATTTATAGGTTAGATTTCGGATAGACCAAATGGTCAATAGTAAATACAGCTACGTGTCCCATTGTTGTGTTTAGCAAACGGGAGAATATATATATTTTGTTTACTGCAGTGACATTTGTTTTTTAAGGCTAAATCTTCAACACAAATGAATCGAAACAGAATATTTTGTTGGATAAAGATTGTGAATTGACTTTTTTACATCTTTTTTACTGTGTGTCTTTACAAGGCTCTAGTTATTAAGAAAGGTTTTGATTTCACGAGCCAAGGCAATTCTTTACAGCCACCACTGAAATCAACTTTTACAAATATTATAATACTTAAAACTATTATTTTCCTGTTATTTCAGAGTTGATGTCCAAGATGGAGAAACGCAAAGCCGCAGAAGACCAGCCACCATCAGATGAGGAGGATTAGCAGCATCTGAACCTTTTCAACCCTCCCCTTATGTGTTTGTCCGTGTACATTTGGAATAAAATAACATTGCTTCACTGTGTGATACCATCAAATTAAAAAATCTTTAAAAGCGAACAAAGTTTATTGTTAAGTCAAGATTGACATTTGCAACACTTTCCCCTCACTTTCAAATGTACATGCAGACAAAACAAGCACCAATGTAACATTCACTTCTGACATAAGTCACATAACACCCAGAGTAAGTTCAAGGAAATACATACTTCTATGCTTGGAGGATTAAACTAAACGGATGTACTGCTTAACCTCTGCAACAAAAGTAATGTGTAAAGCATGAGATGTAGTTTACACTGTAACACAAGCAGAGCTAAGAAATGTGTATTCATGCTGTTGAATTATTTTGCCATTGGGACAAAGTTGCAACCTTCCATCGGCTGTACAGAGGGTGGTGGTCTCACTGAGCAGATGGGCCATGTTCAGAGAGGTAGAGTCTCCCCTGAATCCCTAGCAGCAGCTTCCCACCGATCCATTGGAGAATCTTTAGGTCTCGGCTACATCTACAACCAAAGATCCTCTTCCGAAACCTCAGCAGCAGCATTATGTGTGAAATATATAGAGGCCGTCAGTGCAGTGCAAGTGTGCATAATTAGATAACAAAAGCATGTGAGAGACTTCAAAAAGAGGCAAGACGGCTGCTGGCTTTTAACCTCTGTCTGAGAACAGCAACCCCTTTTAGTTTTAAGATTTAAATTATTTACAAGGTGACCATTACAAAAACAAATCCTGTCCAGTATGCTCAGAGAGTTTTCCATCAGTTTCCCATGCGCATCTCCTCCACTGTCAGAAGTCCCAGTCGTCCACCTCCAGGTGGCTGAGGCCCGACTCCAGACTGGCCAGTCCAGAGTGAGGGTCCTGCGGCTGGGTGCCCTCGAAGTTAGTGATGGGCGTCACGGGCCGCAACAACTCAGGCAGCGCCTCCGAAGGCCGCCGTTTAATCTTAGAGGGGCAAAAAAAATTGAAGAAATTCTATAAATACACATTTTCTATGGACATTATTTGTGTTGATGGAGCAACTATTATGTTAGAATAGCCAGATAAGTGTCAAGATCACTCATTCTAACAAGTAGGATTTCTATAGGTGGTAATGTCAGGATGAACCTGGTATTTAACACACCTGTTTGAAGAAGGGATGGCCTGTGAGAGTGGTGGCAGACGGTCTGAAAAGGAAAAGATGTGTTTTGAAAGGTGAACATATTGCGCAACAAGCCCTACATAATATTTAAGCAGGAACAAAGAGAAGGACCAACCTCTTCTCCGGGTCTCGCTGCAGACACAGTTCGACAAAGGCGTGGAAGTGCGGGGAGAACGTCCGGTTGTAGGGGTGTCCTCCTGACGAGGAGCTGGGCTCTCCATTGGAGTGGCGAACACTTCCGGCTCCTGGACCCTCGCAGATCCCGGAGTCGGCTCCAGAGCGAGAAGGTGTCATCGACAGCTCCTCTGGTGGGATAGTGGTGGTGTCCAGCAAACACGGCACCGTCCCATTGAGCTTCTCCAGCAGCATCTGTGTGGGTACGAACTGGGTTGATGCCCTTTGATTTATAACGATAACAGCTCACAGATCATAACCTTTCAATGTATAGTACTTATCTTACCTGTGTAGCAGGCATGTCTTTGAAGGGCACATGTCCGTTGGCCAGTTCACAGGCTGTAATGCCTAGGCTGTAGATGTCTGACCGAAAGTCGTAGCCCTCCAGGTTCTAAGAAAAAACAGTCACATAAAGAATGTCAACTTCATCATATTTCACTTCTATGTGGCTGCAGAACAGAATAATCAAACATGTAGACCAGAGACAGTATTGTCACAGAGTTATATAATGCTGGTGTGGAGGAGAGCAGTTCTGTACCTGCTGCAGCACCTCAGGGCTGAGCCAAGGCAGCACCTTGACGCTGTACTGGGGGAAGTCGTGGACCACTCTGGCCCTCTGGCCATGACGGATCAGACTGAAGATGCTCCGTAGTCCAGACATGCAGACCTGTCCGTCTGCCGAGATCAACACATGGCTGGCCTTCACACTCCTACACAGAACCAAAGACACTGAATGTCACGTTTACTTCCGTTTACAAAGAGGCATGGGTTTGTCAATATTGTCTATTTATTAAAGCCCAATGGTTAAAAGAAATCAGCACAAAAAAAAGAAATAACGAGGATTGACTAACAGCTTTTAAATACATATTTTCTGGCATAAGCATATATGGGAATACAAAAGAACTGGAATTTAGGTGAAGTTATCAAAAAGCTCTTCGACACTTGAAGTGTATCTTACCGGTGAACGTATCCCATGTGGTGGATGTATTCAAGAGCTCTGAGTATTCCCAGCAAAAGGTATGCAATGGTCAGCTCAGTCATACCGTCAGCGAAATGTGAGCAGATCAGATCTCTGGCTGACCCTTTAAAAAACCACCAAATGCAAACATCAACTAACACAACTTTTACAATGTACATTCAAATTCAGTTACGGTTTTGTATGTGCATCTTACCATAAGCCATGAAAGGAGTGATGACCCACAGCTCATTCTCAGCTATAAAGACACTCTTGTAGGGTAAAATACTGGTGTGGTGAAACAGCTTCGACACATGTAGTTCACTCTGGGACGCAAAGAAAAGGAAATAAAGTCTTATTAGGTCAAGTCGAGAAAAAGGAGGAAGAGGAAAAGAGGATTCTGATGTAATCAGGCATTAGAGGCTGAGCAGTACAGACAGAACAGTAAATGAAAACACAGACACCAGGATTATGCAAGTGTTCCCACTGCAGCAGTGAGATGAAAGAAAGGGGATTTGATTTCAGACAGGACTACGGGGGGGCTGAGTCACAGCAGAGTGATGGAGTGCTGACCTGCAGGTAGGTGACCATGTCATTAGTACATGACTCCATGTCGATCCGTCGGATAGCAACGTGCTCCCCGGTGGGTCTGTATCGAGCCAGGTTCACCGTCATCAAGTCATCCAAGCCCCGGCCTAAAACACAGAGAATACATTTAGGAAAAATGCATAGATTGGCAACAGTATCTTTTATCTACTTTCCAAAATCTACAATAAAAGAATAACATCTAACAATGTTAATACTATTCTCATTAAAAGGGCAATAGATTTCTTTTTTTGTATTACTTATTATCAATATAAAATAAATGTGGATTGCACAATGTCTTTAGTTTAATTTTGAATACAATGTTCCCGAGTATTAGAGATGATCAGTCACAAGAGGCTGTTTATTATTACTGCTGCTAATATTTCTGATTGCTTCCTGCTAATAAAACAATGAATGAAACCTGTGTACTTCGAACAGCCAAGTCCAGGTGTGTGCCTGCGTTTACATACCGATAACGGTGAGGAGCTCGTAGGAGCCGCTGTCAGGGAGGAAGCTGCCCATGGTGTCCCGACGTGGGGGGGAGGTCAGACTCTCCTGGCGGTCCTCATGGGCCTGAGGGAGGAAACAGAGCGACTGAAGATGAACAGTGACACTTGACGTAACGTCTACAGTGCAGGACTGTGATAATGGGCTGGTGAGGGACTACTACCGGAGTGTCACTCCTACACTACCGTTCAAAAGTTTGTAATCTTCTGCCACAAAAGGTTGTTTCGGCACAGTCAGATGCCTTAGAGGTCTACTCTATATTGTTGTCTTTTGTTTTGCGTATTTTACTGACATTTGAAAGGGCAGAAAGAGACAAGGATACCGCAGAGCAACGGTTTAATAAAGGTAAAATAAATCAGCAGTCATTGGCTAAATAAACTGGAAGCTTAAAATCAAAAGGTGCGGAATTTAATTAGCAAGATGTTCCTGGTTGAGTATTAAGATCACAATAATGCTTATAGAAAGCTGGAATTAACAGGCAATTTGTTGCTTTTGAAAAACCTTTCTTAAAATATCTTGTTTACATTTAGAATGTGCATTTTCTATCTATGTTTAAATAGCCATTATAAAAAAAGAAATGAAATAAAACTGACAGCTGATTCCAAACTCTTGAAGGGTAGTGTATGTATGAGAACTGTTAAAAGATCACAAAAAGACAAGCGTGAAGGTGTGTTAACGTGAGCCCTAGCAATACCCAAAGACATTACAAAATATTGAGCGAATACAATTGTCTACTGAAGGTCTAGTAATACTAACATATTCCAACACTCAATATATAACTGAGTGTGTGTTTCAGTGAAAAACAGAAAGACTACATCAGGATTGACAGAATATCAAATTCAGAATCTTAAAGTGTTGCCCACAAAGAGCCCATCTCTTCCTGTGTTACATTTTTTTTTTTTATATATATATATATATATATATAGAAATGTTTAGACATGTGCATCAAAAACACATGTTAATGCTAAACCTAGAAGTGAGGACTCCTGTATTCCATAAATGTATCACTATTTAAATGATGGAAATGGACAGATTGCAGTAGCAAGCTGTGGAGGCAAACGAAGGCAAGCTGTTTCCTTGGTGACCAGAGAGAAGATATGCAATAAAAACAACAACAGTGCACTTCCTTTCAGCACAATCCTATGCTATAGCTCAGAGGAGGCTTTGCGATCAAGATCAGAGCCACACAAATCAGAAAATATCCTCACTGGTAAAACTAAACGGTGTAGACAACACTCTTGCCAAAACAGTGCCTTTTGTCAAACATAACCCGTCTAGACCTTACGTTATACCTGAAATAAAAACAAAGCCAAACATGTTCTGGCAGCGTTGTTTGAGAATCACATGGGTTACTGCTGAAAAAATGCCATGGTGAACACAGAAGAGGTCAGTAGGAAAACACAGTGGCATTAAAGAGGGACAACCTCGGCTCACCATCAACCCTACAACAGGCCGTCAGCACAGACAGGCGGTATCAAAACACAACACAAAATTAGACTCTCAGTGAGACGACACCAAAATCCAAAACAGTGCAGTTACCTTGAGTGAAGCATTAACCAGCACACTGAGGACAGACAGACTTATTCTCTTTCTATTCCCCAACAGAACGCTGGTGAGTGAGGTGAGCTGTCCTTGTGAGCATTGAGCATGTACAGCGTCTGTCACTACACACTCATGCATACATTAATGTGCAAAGCCTCAGGGGGGT